TATGCACAATCAGCTTGTAACACTCCAAAGAGAAAGGAAAACTTGAAATCGCATCATATAACCCCTTTAAACATTTCTGAATGTGTTTGAATAATGTGGGAGGACATGTGTTGTAGTAAACATCTGTTTCTTCCTCTGAATGTATAGTAGCATTGCTTTTTCATGTTAGTTTTGGTTTGTGTTATTTTATGAATACAGAATTTGTTCGAAAACCATTGCCTCAAATATCTTTTTTCCCCCTTCTTTCTTCTTTGTCAGGTAAATGAGTATCTGAGTATGACAACTAGGATTACAAAACCTGTTCATTGAAATTCTTTGTCCAGACAAGGTTTTGTTAGTCATTTGTTAGTCGTTTTTGTACAATGTAAGCACAAACTGTGTAATTTCTACTTAAATGAGATCATCTGGATTGCTCAAATGGTATTCATCTGGCTCTATGCTGTTTAGAAAAGTATTTGTAGAACTACACTTCAGAAAAACACACTAAAACTATGACTTATTTGTCAAATGAACTCTCTTTTGTGCCTTTTGTGTAGGCCTGTGTTTTCCACAGTAACCTGAACTGGTTTTACTGCCAAAAATATGTGCAAGTATAGAGTGTTGCTATAGCAACTGCTCTACAGGGAAGAGCAGATATCAGGAATGAAACCGAGTTCTCTCAACCAGAGACATTGAAAAGTAAAGGATTTAGCTGTATAAAACGTCTATTAGAGTGAGGTGGTTGAATTCAAGTGCACAATTTCTCGAAATAGGAAAGTAGAACTTCTAAAACAAACAAATACAAAACACAGGAAATAAAAGTGACTCAGCAAGAATCACCATGAATCATAACGCATTCAACATCTGCTACTGCACATTCAAGACTGCACATGTTCTCATTAATAGACTAGAATACAAATTAATATTTCTGAGGTATTTTCCGTATGCGCAGGAAGACCCGCTTGCTAAACTGTAATAATGATGCAATGATTAACTAATAGGACAAAAATATGTGACCTGTGAACACGCAGGATCAAGACAGAATCTTGAAACCATGAACACTTTCGAAATGAGGTCCAGACTTTATCCATTCCAGGTAGAGTATTTATAATGAGTACATAAAGTACACAAGGACTGTCACTGACGTTTTATATTTTAGTTGGAATATTACTTTGATAGTAGTAGAAGTAATCTTGTTTATAGATTGTTGTGGCAAATAAAACGATTGTGGTCAAAGATATCTTATATAAGTTAAGTAAATGCCCTCAGGTTTCAAAATGAGTCACAGAAGGATCACATACAATCTATCTAAACATTAAATCAAAATTAAAGTTGTGTGGCTTTTAATTCATGTGTGTTAACTTTGAGGTCACCAAAAATGATGCCAACTGCCGACGACGTAGATTTTTTATATTTATTTATTTTTTATGCAGACAAGCAATTAGCAAATAATGTTCTGTGGCGTATTGTGTCCTGCCCATAATTTTAGTTATATTAAACTTTTAATATACCAAAGATTCCACCAGCCTACCTCATTAATTACCCGTAAAGTAATTTCACTCAGTCTAAAAGTCTCTAAAGTTTGCTAACGGGTCTTGAAAGGGAGTTTCGTGTGACATTCAAAAATAAAACACAGAAAACGCAAAAACACTTTGTGACCTCCACTGGTCAGGAATGGAAATTCATTGTTAAAATACTGAAGCTGAATATAGACTTTGTGCTGCTAACCCACACAATAGCATAAACAAATATAACATAGTTTTATTATATTTGATATTACTTATATTACCTATTACTTATATATGTTATCTTTGTTTTAAAAAGTTTTTATATATGTGTTCTTTATTTGGTTATTTTGTTTAAAACCATGTTTTATGTTTCTGGTCCATGGATGACCTTGACTCACATTTTGATCACACATCAGTTGCACAGCTGCCAGTCAAACATTTCCTGCTTTCTCTTTAGTGCCCTATTATTATGACAAGAGAGCACTGTCGAGGGGGAAAAAAAGCTTGGATACTGCATAGAAATAATGTGGAAGATAATCAGGTTCTATCAGGTCTTAATTTGAAATAGTGCAGCTGTTATAGTATCACACTCATGATCTAAATAATTATAATAAATCAGTTTTCTCTCAGACAAGTTTAAAAACATTCAAGAAGCAAATACTAAGCATCTGCTGGATAAATATTTTGATTTCATATAAAATTTGAAAATAGGATTTTCACTATTATTGTGCATTTTTCATAACAATAAAGTTAAACTTCTTTAACTTCTTAGTTTAACTTTTTTTAGACAACTTCCCCCCCCCCCCCACTTCAGCAATAATCTGCCAAGTAAGACCAAACTTAAGCTCCAAAACATTCAGAATTTATGATAGCTCAAGTTGGAAATTTCATTTTCAGGTGTGTTTAAAAAGTGGTTATCAGGTAATAAATGGGTTTAATAAATGGATTATAACTACTGCATAAATATAATTTAGTACCATACAATCCCTTAAAAATACAAAATATTAAATAAAAAACATATTGACCTAAAATATAATACATTCATTGCAACAATAACATTATTTTTATCCTCTCAATAAAAATGACTGCAGAGGGAACATATTGTAGTGATATATTGTTTTCCAATGCAAATAACTGAATGAACACAGGAATAGACTGAGAGCGAAACGATATAGTAATGAAAGTGCGGTGCTGAGGTTTGTGGTTTGGCATTATCAAATCTACCCTTGCTCTGTATAGCTCGTCCAGCCTGCAGCAGCCCTCCACTCATGCTTCTGTGTATATACACACAAACACACAGCCAAGTGACAGAAATAGCAGATTTCAGACTTCACCCTGCTGAGATGAAGCAGACGGTCTCACTTAAGATGCTTCACCCATCATCTCAGTTGTGTTCATGTGAGCTGCAGTGGAGGAGGCTTCGTTTGCATTTAGTTTTGAATGTTCAACTTCAGTTTCACAAAGGCAAGGCAAAATACAATGACTTCCAATGATATATATATATATATATACACATATATAGACCTATAATTTATTTGATATTACCAATGTTGTGTAATTATGTTCAATATATGGTAACTTTAGCTTGATCAATTGCTGAAGTACTTCTGAGTCCGTGTAATCATTTACCATGGTATAACAGGATACAAAGTTCAGGTACAAATGTAGTGACCCTAATTACACTACAAGGAAAACAGACCAGCAAAAAACTATGTAAATTGTTTTACTACGCTAACATGAACACCACCACCACCAAGCGTTTTGCAATATATATACACAATACTTATTTAAAAACATAACAAATAGGAAATGATAACCATCACATAGTCCACAAATATTGTGGAGGCAGTGTGAACACAGTTACAGGAAGATGAGCGCTGAAAAGAAATCAGAGGAATATATTCTTATAGGGACAAATAGGGATTTGTGATAGGGACAAATGTGCTGTAAGTGCTAAGCAGAACCAGAGAATCTAACATTCTGGGTATAAAACACTGCCTATACCATTATTTTAATATAAAATGCCAATTCAGTTCATTAGAGAGACATAAGGAAGTCAAAAATTTCAGTCCAGGTCAAAGGATCATGTGATTTCTGCAGTAAACCTGTCAATTAAAGAGACAGTTCAGCCAAAAATATTCATTCTGTCATCATTTACTCACTCTCATGTCCTCCAAAGCCTGTATGACTTTCTTTCTTCTTTGGAATATAAAAGAAGATATTTTGAAGAATATTTAAACTGTTTTGACTATAAAATGAAAGTCAATAGGTTTGGAATGACATGACGGTGAGTATCTATTCTTTTAACCTTAGATCCACTGCAGGTTTTTAGTACACAGTGCAACAGAGTATTCACCATTACTTGAGAACTGCTGAAACTGAAGACAATATTCAGTAACACATTCATTTGTCTGAGGTTATCTGTGAATATGCTACATAATTACTCATTCTGTCCATCTTTTTGGTAATCGCTAAAAAAAAAGCATTTTAAAAGATCCCAGATCTCCTGTGACCTCAGAGAAGAGGCCACACGCTGTTCCACCACCGCTCACTGCAACCCAGTGCTCTCCAGTTTTACATCCACAACTGCCAAAATCATCAAGCGGAAGGTCCATCCTCTCTCTTCGTGTAAGGTGTGATGGCTAGTTAAAGCAGTCTCTATCTCTCAGCCTCCATGATGATACTAGCATGCTCAGCGGAGGCTTGCTGAGTCACGGCTGCCGGCCAGCCTGGTGACAGCGTTTGCGGCATGAGCTCACCTGGAGTCCATCGCCCCTGGTGACCAGGGGTTGCCGGAGGGCTCATGGCCCAGTTGGTGTGAGGAGCTGGTGACGTAGCCATAGAAGCGATGGGACTGCTGTTGCCGAAGCTCTCGGAGGCTTTAAGACGAGAGAACATGGCTAGGGCATCTGGGAAGTTGGGGGGTGTCGCTGGTGTGTTGGCTGGAGTGCACATCTGGAAACAAAGAGAGAACCTATTTAAAACTGGTACTGGTAATGGATTGTTTAACCCACAACCATCAGTTTCATAAAGCAGATTTTAACAACCATGTCCACTGAAATGGGTCATGAATTGCATTTTTTAATTATTTGATAATGTTTCCTGAGGTGCACTTATAATGTTAGTATGATTTTTACATCAAAATTTGACAATTTAGAAATAAAAGGCCATTTTCTACCCTGATTTTAGCGCTCTGATTTGAACGGTGTTGGAAGGGGCGTCAATGGAAACGCCCACTGCTATGATTGGCTGATATCTGTGCATATGAAATGAGTATTACATGAGGAGCTCTCTCAAGAACTTTTACTACATTTTTACTATTACAGCTGTTGAAATTAACTAATCATGGAGAGTGTTGATTATAGCATTATATTTAGATCTACTCTCGTCGCATGGAAGGTTGCAGTGATGAGCTTTGTAGCCAAAGACAGACTGTTGAGTGCATGAATGCAGTGATCTCATCATTGCAACTCGAGTTTTGCACTTTCACAAATTCATCATAACTAACACTGCAAACACATTGTAAATAAGAGTCATAATGCTCTACTTAGACATCACCATAGTTGAAAATAAACAATCACTTTCCTAGGATTAGCATTCTTTGGAAGGTAATGTTTTTTTTAAGTCCAGTGATCCTGTATTGCTCTTCTCTCCTTCTCATCTCACTAACGCACCAGTGGCCAGGGCCAAAGACGTGATGATGCAGAAGCAGGCATTGATCTGACTCTGCAGAGGCGGGCTTTCGTTGCACTATTATGTCATAATGTGACAAAATCTGAAACAAGTCGTTTTTTGAGCTTGGTTTCAATAAAAGCTGTTTTTGGACTAACAAGGACGTTTTGAACTCTGAAACTCACAGGGTGTTTTTTTTAGTATAATGACCTTTTACATGTCAAATCATCAAGGAAAATTTGATTTCTCAATTCATGACCCCTTGAATGGAGAATTTGTAGAATTCCAGCAAGAGTCATTCTCTGAAACAAGGAATTGAGGAAGTTGCTGAAATGTATTAGTGACTGAGGTTGTAGACCTTTGGACAAGCAGGACATGATACAATAATGATTGGCCACCTCTCCTGAGTAAACACCAGACCTGATTCACTGACACAAGTTACTATAGCAACGTTTAGTCTTTCAGAGGCCAGTTTTAAGAAGATAATCAGTGAAAAACAACACCAGTGATGTCTTTTGTGACATGTTGTGCTCCTGTTGTTCAAAACAAATTAGAATTGAAAGAATCTAAGACCCATATTTTATATATGGTTGGTCAATCGCAACACTGTAGTCAAATATTGTTTCGTAATGAATGCTAAACTGTATACATTATTACTTTTATTCAGCAAGGATATTAAATTGATCAGTGACGGTAAAACATTTATAATGCTACAAAAGATTTCAATTTTAAATAAATGCTGTTCTTTTTAACTTTATATTCATCAAAGAATCCTGGAAAAAAATGCATCACAGTTTCCACAAAATCAATAAGCAGCACAACAATCAATATTTCAAGACCATTTATTTGGTACATAGTTATGTAATAAGTAGGATAATGCACATTGAGTTGATCATTAAGTCCGTTATAATTAATTATTTCACTCAGCAGCTCTGAGGGCTTTCATACACACATACTCACTTGGTTTGGTTTAGTTTCTGTAGATGGCATAACTACACCGGCAAAAAGCACATTAGTCCATTGACAGTCATTCAAAAGCAGCCATGTCTGACTAAATATTTTCTAAATGATTTTCTAATAAATATTTTCTCTTGTAAACCACAAGCATATCATTATATTCTACCAGTGGATCAAGGACCAGCTTGTGAATAACAGCAATTAAGTTCCATCAACTGCACCAAACATCCCTCACCCTGGGACATCCTTACTGCTATGAGCTATGACAACTGAACCTCGAACCTGAAAGCTGCATGTGTAAAGGTTCCTATAAAGAGCTCACTCAAACAATTCTCTGTCATTCGAAAGTGTAACTTGTCTCTACTTTCCAGTCACAAGTCAAGTCAAACACAGATCATTCGTACTGCAAAAATCAGCCGTCATCTCACACTCTCAGGGGCCCAAACATTTTAATCAGAATCTGATTTGATTTTTTCTTCATTATCATGTTCTTTGCTTAGATGTACTGTATATGCTTAGACACTGCCTGTAGGCCTATATGAAGGAAATGTAATATTACAGTTGTTAGTAATTATAAACGCAGTCAATTGCCTGGTGACGTCACCATATGGCAGCGCCCATAAGGGTGTGACCCGCTCCCTGAAGAATAAAACAGCCTTTTCTTAAAAACTGATAAGAGTCTGAGTCTCGTGTGAGTGTACTGTACATCATAGGGCTGCACGTGAATGATGTTTATACCATTGTTTAATGCAACTGCATGCCGTATATTTATATGAAAATAAACAAGCTGAAAACACTCTAACTGAAAAACTTTTAGCGCTTTTCTATAGTATTAAACCTCAAATGTCAACTATACATCGGATTGGTATTTTCTTTAAATTATAAAAAAGTAAAAATATGAATTGTATAATAATGTTATACTAAAACTAAACATCTTAAGCACGCAGAATAATATAAGTAGACTTTGAACGACTAATTGCCGCTTTGAACGATTATGTAATTGTGGCATCCATAATTGTAATCGCGATTAGAAATTCGATTAATTGTGCAGCCCTAGTACATCATTTAAATATTTCATCATTTCAACGATGTTCATTTCACGAAGTAAACCTTCTTAATTAGCAAAAACTAGTACGTGCACTGGTAGCCTAAGTGAGAGGCAAATGAGGTGCTTTCCAAGGGTTAACTAAATTTGATTCGCTTTGGAGTAATTCCAAACAAATCCCTTTCATTTAATATATCTGTTAATGTTAATTTTTAATTATGCGTTTTTTTAAGCCAGCGAGGTTTTGAACATGCTACAGTGTGTTGCTGTCGTGTAAACAGCGCCGTGTCAAGCGCGTGCTCTCTTGTTCCCGGAATCGCCCTCCCCCATAACTTTGGACACGTTTGCAAAAACGCAAGTCCCATGAGTCCAGATCTTAAATATTAACACATTTACCTACGGGAGGCTGTATGCGCTTAAACGACAAAGTAGCGAATTTTTAAAGACATAAATGTAGCCTTCGCTAGAAACATGTCAGCCTGTGTTTATTTTTGTCTGACTCGTGGTTTCAACATGGCGGAAGTCATCATAACAGATATTAAAGGACACAATAATAAGCGACAAACAATTATACTCACCATTTGATGGCTGTAGGGAATATTAGCCTCTTGGAAAAATGTACTGAGAGCAGTCTGCAACACCATAATAAAAGAGTCAAGTAAATTCATAAATACTCGAGGAAGTAAGCAAATGTGTATTGGAAAACTTTGAACATAACATTAAGCGTAACTTTATTAACTTTTTATTACACTGAATCCCATATTTTTTTTAAATTATTATGCATTTCAATGTCTTATTTGTTTATGACTGCTGTCTGGTGCTTGTTTCGCATGAGTATAAATGATGTTTCATGCGTCAAATAAAGTAAAAGTTACTGATTTGCGTTATTTATCTACTTATTTATCTTTTTACTGTGTCACAAGACATTCAGTTTGATGTGGCCTAACAAACAAACATACCTCAAACTGCCAGTGTGAAGCTTGTAGAAGCTGCTTTGCTTGATCTGCCGCACATCCGGCTGTAAGAACAAACTGATTTATCATAACCTGATGCCTTAGTTCGTCCATATTTAATTAAGGAACCTGTGCGATTTCGTCAGTTAAAAGCTTCAGCTTGCAGTCTTTCAAAAACGCCGCACTCAAACATCAACTTGTCGACTGGAAACAAAAAATGTTGTGAATTGAACCGTCCTCCTACTTAGCGCCCGCTGTTGGACAACTGCAGTGAGCGTCAGAGAGGAACTCTGGGATTTGTAGGCCAGTGCGCAGAAACGAGAGCCTAGATAGGACTCGCTATTTAATAACAAAACAGATGATTTCCATGGATATGAAATTTGTGTTAAATTCTTACAAACATACTTTAGATCAAGCTGTCACAACTGTATCATGTTATTGGGATTTAACATTAGTTTTCAAAAACTTTTCATTATGTTTTGTAGCCTACCCCTGAGTAGGTCTATATATTGTTGTATGTGACATTCTTCACCACATCCATCAATACAATAAGTTCAGTTTTGCATTGTGTCCTCAAATCAAATAAACGTTTTGTTGCCGTGCTCGTGTCAAGTCAAGTCACCTTTATTTATATAGCGCTTTTAACAATACAGATTGTGTCAAAGCAACTGAACAGCATTAATTAGGAAAATAGTGTCAATAATGCAAAATGACAATAGTAAACACAAATTTTTCAGTTAAAGACAGTTCATCATTGAATTCAGTGATGTCAACATCCAGCTCAGTTTAAATAGTATCTTTGCAATCAAGTCAACGGTATCGCTGGAAATGAAGTGTCCCCCCCTCGTGTGTAATATTGTAATCGACTGGTCTTAAATACCTTTCTTAACAGCCATGTTACTTACCTTAAATTACCTAAATTTGTGTGTGTATATATATATATATATATATATG